GCGTGCCCGTTCCCCGCAGGGCTGAAGCAGGAGCTGTTCCACCGGCACAAGGAGGCCCAGCAGTGCTGCAGGCCCCACAACCTGCCGCTGCTCCGCGCCGCCCAGCAGCGTGAGATGGAGGTGAGGGGCCAGGGCCAGCCCCCACAGGGCTGGTAGCCCCTTGGCTGCGTCCCAGGAGCACCCCGGCATCTCTGGGGGGATCAACGAGTCACTGCTCTGCAGCCAGCAGCTGTCCGCTTTGGTTTTGCTAGCACAGCCCTAAATTCCCCACCCTGACGTGGGGCTGCCTCCTTTTGCGGAGGCGCTTGCCCTGGGGTAGCTGTGGCCCAGAAACCTGGGAATCTGGCTGCTGGAGAGTGATAGGAGTTTGGTAGAAAATACAGCTACATGAAATCTATCCTTACACTGTAGCAACTGTCAAGCAGAGAATAATCATAAATCACATTTTGGCCTAGTAGCACTGATAGGGAGGAACCACCCTGAGATACATAAGCACAGAAATAGGCTCTGTGAGCATCCCAAGGCATTTGGAGAAAGGTGCTTCAGCACGAGCAGTAGGTTCAGTCCCAGAGGACTTCTCTGTACACTGGTGATAAGACAGAGGCAGTTGGAGAAGGTAAAAGAAATTACAGGTAGCTAGTTACTGTAATTGATGGAGGTTAAAGTGCTTCCTTCCACCTTCTCTTTGCCTTTCTCTGTTTCCTTCTGCCAGATGTTCCTAGAGTTACTTCTCTTTTTTTATCCACTGATATTTCTGCTGTTGAGCATTTTAGGAATAACTGATCATCTCAGTAACGATTGGTCTGTGTCTAATCAGAGCTGCCTTCTGTGGCTGAAGGTTTCAAAGACCAGCTCCAGTGAGGTAGCTTGGGGTTGGGCTCCAAGGAGAAGGAACACAACATGTAGTTTTCAGATGTCTGGCTTCTTAGTGGAAGCTGGAGGACTTGGAAAAGCTTTGCCCATCACACAAGGTTGCCAGCCAGCAGACCTGAGGCAAAAGCTTGTGTTCAAGCCTTGGTTTTCTCCAAGATTTTGGCACTTTTATGTAGCCCAGAATCAGGTGCCAACCCTAAACTGTATGTAGGCACTTAAACCTTTTGTTTTTTTGTTTCAAAACCAAGGAAAGTCACTCCTCCAGCACAGTTAGTGCAGGAGACGGTGGTGTGGTGCCTCCTCCTTCTCCCAAGGTGGCTGGAAGGAAGGAAAATTTTGGGGAGATGAGGGATTTGAATCCCTCCTATCCCACAGAAAGCACAGACCTCTAGAGCAAAGAAAATGTAAGGACAGAACTTTTTTAGGTTCGTAGTGAAGGAGGCAGTTAGCTCCTCTGCCTTGCCTTTTACTGAGGCTTAAGTTGTGTTGAATTTCTTCATGTTTATTTTAATAAGCTCCTGCCCCATTTTTTTTTTTTTTTTTTTTTTGTGAAGCAACTGATGTGTAGGAATCTTTGGTGGATCAAAGTCCTGCATCCTCCTCAACAGTGTGTAGCTCTGCAAAGCTTGTCCAGACCTATGGACATGATTAGTCTGTGAGATGCTAATTGAGTGCTGTACCTCCAGGGAAGGTTACATGAGGTGGCTCCAGCTCCATGTCAGTCATTGCTGCTCTTCCTGTAGGTCAGGCCTCCTGCAGACAGCCAGTGATGCATCTGTGCTGTAGAAGAACCTCAGTGGTTCTCCACACTCTTCAGGGCCAAAACCTCTGTCGTTGAGATTCTGGATTTTCCCCAGGACTTGTAGCTGTGCTCAGGTACTTCTGGCTCCCCTCTTGGATGGCTCTGCCTGGGTCTTTTCCCAGAGTCCCAGCATGGGAGGTTGGAAGTGACCTCTGGAGATCATCTCCAACACCCTGCTCCAGCCGCTCACCCACAGCAGGGTGCCCAGGGTCACACCCAGGTGGGTTTGGGATCTCTCCAGAGCAGGAGACTCCACAGCCTCTCTGGGCAGCTGCTCCAGGCTCGGCCACCCTCACACCAAAGAAGTGTCTCCTGCTCAGGTGGCACCTCCTGGGTTCCAGTTGGTGCCCGTTGCCCCTTGTCCTGTCACTGGGCACCACTGACCAGAGTCTGGCCCCAGCCTCTTGCCCCCCACCCTTTAGCTCTTGCTCAGCATTGATCAGATCCCCTCTCAGGCTTCTCTTCTCCAGCTCAACAGCCCCAGAGCTCTCAGGCTGTCTACACAGAGATGCTCCAGCCCCTCAGCAGCTTCACAGCCTCTGCTGGACTCTCTCCAGTAGGTCCCTGTCCTTGAACTGGGGAGCCCAGAACTAGACACCGCACTCCCACTTGTCCTTGAACTGGGGAGCCCAGAACTGGACACAGTACTCCAGCTGTGGCCTCACTAGGGCAGAGCAGAGGGGAGGAGAACCTCCCTTGACCTGCTGATGACATTCTTTTTAATGCACCCCAGGAGACCATTGGCCTTGGCCCCGAGGGCCCATGGCTGGCTCATGGTGAACTTGTCCACCAGCACTCCCAGGTCCTTCTCTGCAGAGCTGCTTGCCCTAGGAGTGTTTCCAGCTCAGCGCCAGCCTCTGTGCTAACGCTGGGGTGACATTCCACCAGTGAAGGGTTGAAACTTGTGCTGTTTATTTCTTGGAAGAGGATGAGTCTCCCTGTGCATTTAGATGGGACTTGGTGGTTCCTGGGGCCTATGACAGAGGTGTGGGGCTGAGCACAGCCTGGCAGGGCTCCATTGTCCCACCTCCACACTCAGCAGGCTCTTTGTTTGAGCTGGGCTCTCCTCATGCCCAGCAATCCTGCCCCCTGGCAGCTCTGGTCAGTGGAGGTTGCATAGAATCACTGAGGTTGGAACAGGCCTCCCGAGATCATCAGGTCCAGCTGTCAGCCCAACACTACCATGACCATTCAACCATGCCCTGAAGTGCCATGTCTCCATGTTTTTTGAACTCCTCCAGGGCTGGGGACTCCAGCACCTCCCTGGGCAGCCTGGGCCAAGGCCTCACCACTCTGCCAGGAGAGAAATTCTTCACAAGATCCAACTGAAACCCCCCCTGGTGCAGCTTCAGCCCATTGCCTCTCGGCCTATCGGTGGTTCCTTGGGAGAAGAGACCAACCTCTTCCTAAGATCCAACTGAAACCCCCCCTGGTGCAGCTTCAGCCCATTGCCTCTCGTCCTATCGGTGGTTCCTTGGGAGAAGAGACCAACCCCCACCTCACTCCAGCCTCCTGTCAGGGAGTTGTAGCTAGCAAGAAGGTCTCATCTCCTGACTAAACAATCCCATGTCCCTTGGCCGCTCCTCATAAGACCCCTCCAGCCTTCTCCCTCGTTGCCCTTCTCTGGATCCAGTCCAGCACCTCAAAGTCTTTCTTATCCTGTGGTGCCACCTCCAGAGCTGACCAGCAGTATCCCTTTCTGCAGCTGGCAGAGCATGGGAGTGATCCTAGAGCACACCCTAGATCCCCATTTCCAGCATGCTTTTGATGTAGCCCGTGGTCACTGTGCTCCATTGGTTCTTCAGAGGCAGTGCAGAGGTTTCTCTGCTGAGGTTTAGGCAGATGCTGGCTGTGTTCTGTCCTGCTTGGGGCTGCTTTGCAAAGTCCTCGTTTGATAGTGCTCTCAGTCTGCCAAAAGCAGAGCCCTGGCTGTGGTCCCAACAAGACTTCAGCTTGCTGTCATCAGTACAAAATAAACTGATGTTCCAGTGGCAGAGTCAAGGATTTGAGAAGTTCATCTCCTTCCATGAATGAATGGGGTCTGGGTGGCATTTACAGCTCCAGCGCTGCGTGTTGGTGTCCAGGGAGGCATCTAAGCTGGCACCTTGATGAGCTCTGGTGGCCTACCTTACTCCTCCATGTCTTCATTCAGCCTCACAGGCCCTGTGTAGGGTCTGTGGTTCTCCTTTGGAGCCCGTGCTCAGGCCTTGGCTCCTCAGGAAAAGCCGTTCAGATACAGACCTGTTGTCCCTGGCCTCCAAACACCCAGAGCAGGCTGGTCCTGGTGACTGCCCTGTGTCCTGGAGCAGGGGCATTGCTCTCAGAGGTGAGGTCTGGGGCTGTGCTTGCTGCTGGGACCCTTCAGAGCATGAGTGCTTCAGGATCTCGTTGCTTTTCAGTGTCAGTAGACGACACAGAGGTGAGGAGGAGGCAGGAGAAAGGCAGGTGTTCCACTTTCCTTCTGTCGACCGTTATCTGTTTCAGGCTGTGGAGCAACGAATTCGAGAAGAGCAGCGAATGATGGATGAGAAGATAGTCTTGGAACTGGACCAAAAAGTGATAGACCAGCAGAGCACCCTGGAGAAGGCCGGAGTGTCTGGCTTCTACATCACCACCAACCCCCAGGTCTGTGTCTGGGCAGGGAATGGAAGATCAGAGAGCACTCTTGTGTTAATGTCTTTACTTTTCTTTCTGAAATCTTGCTCTTAATGATTCTCAGTCACTGGGTCAGAAAGAATGATCTGTCCTCAGCTGATGGGCAATGTGCCCTGGGCAGACCTAGTGGTAGGTTCATAATAAAGGAGCAGAAGCCCATCAGACAGGGTGACATCCCCAGCATCCCACAATGTTTTTCCCAGTGGGGAGGGAGGAAATGCTCTGCAGCAGTCCTGTGACTGGAGAGGCTCTTAGTAACGCCGGATGGAGTGGCTGTGGACCTTGATCCCTTTTGTACCCAACTTAGCTCCACGAGCTGCCTTCAGGAAGTCTTTTTGTTGGGCATCTTGTTAATTCTCGCATGTGACTTACTCGAGATGATGATCTCAGGCTAGGATTAGAAAATCCTTCTTGTTTTCCCCAGTGTATCTGCTCTTAAAACTCATGAGCTGTCGCCTGGGTTTCGCTCTGCTTTGCCACCACAGGAATGACAGGATAATGGAACTTTCCCAGTCTCACTGTGATTGCACAGAAGCTTGCAGGGAATGCAGAAATGGGCTGTTCTTCACTCTGTTTTTTTCAGCTGATGAAATTTCACTTTGCTAAAGAGCTGCTGGTGAGAAAAGGCAGCTTAAACTAAGTTAGTTCAACAGGCGTTTGCTGAACGCCACACAATTCCTGGCTGCGTAGCCTTGAACAAGCCTCTTAATTTCCTTGTGCTGCTGTTTCTCAGCTGTGTGAGCAGAGCAGCTCTTTCTCTCCCCCGCTGCCCCTGCCTTTTATATTATTTCTGTGAGTAATAACCCCTAACAGGATTCTTGTTTGCTGGGTTTTGCTTGTTTGCCTTTACTGTAGCTGGCGAGGCAGACCCAGACCTTGGCTTGCAGCTCTGAATGCCACCATCGTGTCAGAAATCACTGCTGGGGTCTGTCCCCAGGTGTTTCCCTCAGCTGAGGGGTTTCCTCCCAGGCTGTTGCCCGCTTATGCAGTCGATCTATTTTTACAAAAATAGATTTTTATTTCCCTAATGTAACATCTGCAAGCTTGAGTCACAGAACAGGGTTTGCTGAAGTAGCTCCTGTGCTTCAGAGCAGAGTGTCTGAGCTAAATGTGAGTAAAGGACAAGCAGACGGGGAGGAAGCTGTGACTGGTTTCAGTGACTGCAGGAGCTGGTGGCCTCCCCTTGATCACCGTTGTGGAAAAGGGAGGGTTTGAAGGGAAAATAAAATGCCTGGAGGGAATTTGATGCACCAGCACAGCAGCCTGCTGCAAGCAGATTCCCCTCCACTTAAAGAGCACCCAAAGCGACCCCTCCTGCTTCCTGCCCTGCGTGCTAGGGAGGATCAGGGCTTCGAAGATGCTGAAGGACAGGGGAGGGAGCAGTGCCGACCTGGAGAACCTCCTCTGGGGGTGTGGCTGTGCCTGGGAGAGGGGACACTGCAGCCCTGCAGCAGGAGGGGGAACCTGCCAAGCTGGCTGGCCCTCGCTGCCTTCAGCACTCGGCCATGGGCAGGAGGGCCTGACCTTTCTGAGTCGGTGAGGAGCTGTGAAGCCCTGCAGTCCTGAAGGTTTGCAGCAGGTCTCTTCAGATACGGCTGCCCTGTGTTTTGTAGAATGCTGCAGCAGGATGAAGGCTGTGGTTTGTAGCTGCGTGGTTTTTCTTTTGTCCCCTGAAGATGAGTAGCTCTTGAGTGGGTGGTACAAACCAGGCCTCTCTGCTTCCTGCAGCAGGGAACGGGATCATCTTGTCCTCTCAAAAGCATCTCTTTTCTTTTGCAGGAGCTGACTTTACAGATGAATTTACTGGAGCTGATTCGGAAGCTACAGCAGAAGGAATCGGAGTCTGAGAGGGCCTTTTCCTGAACAAGAAAATCTGCTGTTCTGTTTTCCAGAGTTTTCTTCTGACTTCCTTCTAAAGAATAGACTGTTAATGCCTTTGCTTTATGTTGTGTCAGGAAGAGGCTTCTGGCTGTAGAAGAAATAGCTGAGGCCCTTAGATAACCTCAGAGCTGGGCAGGGCAGGCCCCAGAGCAGGGGGCAGGTTGGGGAGCACCAGGCTGATTCTCCACTCCTCGGAGCAAGCTCCGTGCTGCACATCTCGCCAAGATGAGGGACATGGTGGTGTTGACCTGCAGCCCCTGAGGCCGTTTGCCAAGCCAGGGCTGGCTGCCAAGGCAGCACGTGCAGCTCAGCCATGGGTGACCCCCCTGTTCAGGTGAATCAGGCTGGGCAGGTGAGCTCCAAATTGGGATCTCCTGGTCTGAGGAGGGCGAGTGTCTCTGGGAGGGAGTGGGAGAGGTGAGTAGCTGCAGTACCAGGCAGCATCTCATCATCTGGTGCCACCTCACCATGCAGATGGTTGGCAGCCGAGGGGGAAAAGTCTGAGGCTTATCTATAAGAAGATGCTTCTCTGTGTGTTGAGGCAGAAACAGCCTCTGAACAGAGAGACCCTTCCAGAGACACCTCTAGGCAGACAGCAGCATGAGCTTTGTTAGAGGAGGACTCCAGGCCCCTGCCCAGCATTGCTGGGCTGTGACCTTCGTGGTGTTCCTACCCGACTTGGACAGCAGAGAAGGCTCAAGGGCTTCTGCTTTGTTACTTTAAACCAGTTTCCAAACAGAAATAAAACATTCTGCCCTGCCTGCTGGGGCTGTGCCTCTCAAAATGTCAGTGATGGTGATTCCATTCGTCCATCCCCACTCAGTGAGGTTTGGGGTGCACTGGATTAAAGCTGGGGGGGGAGCCCTGAGTGTTTCAGAGACCTGCTTGGCTGAGCCGATGACCCTGAGAGCCTGAGCTGCATCTGCAGGACTCCGGGCACAGAAGGACCTGAGGCACTTGCTGAAAACTTGAAGAGATCCCTTCAGGTGTGCCGGGCAGTGTGCAGCGCTGGGACAGGACGGTGCAGGGAGGGTCTGAGCAGGGGTGTTCTTCACGGGTGAACTTCACATCAGAGAAGCTGTTGGTGGCTCAAAGACTTGGTGCATGGTGTGTTGAAGGGCTTTGATTACACCCAGGTCCCTGCGAAGGGTTTTCTGGCATTCCCAGAGCGAGGGTTATGTTTGGGAGACGTCTCCTTCGCGTCACTGTTTGCTCTCGCCGCATCCTCTGGGTGCAGCAGCCGCTTTCCACAGCAGAAGGTGCTGTGAGGAGGTTCCTGTGGGTAAGTACTGTGGCTGGGAAATGGGTCGCTAGCCGCTGCGTGGGTGCTGTGAGCCCTCGTGTGCACGTGCAAGCAGATCTCTGAAGCTGGAGTGAACGAGCTGTGGAACTGGAGAACCAGCTGAAGTAAGGAAACCTGCAGAGATGTTACAAGAACTTGTGGGTGGCCTTTTGGTAGCAAGAGGAGGTGATGGAGGAGATGTAGACTAACACTGAGGATCAGCAGCTACAGGTACCAGCAAGGCTCTTGCAAATTCAAGGCTGAGCCCCTCTCCCACTTCCATCAGAGGCGGGTGTTTCATCCCCACAGGGGGGTGCTCCCGTGGAAAAAAAAGGAGATGGGGTGCTGCTCTGGTGGGGTCTGTCTGCACCTTCTCGAGGAAAATCCCCAACTGCAAAATGGGCGGATGCGGGACCTGCATCATTGCAGGAGCCCCAAAAACCACCTCAAACTGTGTTGCCACTTGGCCCTCAGCTGGGAGCCTTGAACTTGGCTGCTAAAACGGAGAGGAGTAGAGTGGGCAACATTCTCCTCTGGAGACATCTTCATCCCACCTGGGAGGACACACGGCCACGCCAGTCTCTGGTGCTCACCCAATAAAGAAGGCATCTGTGTTCCTCCGTGTGCAGCCAGAGCTGTTAGCAAGGAAATTGCTTCCTGAGGTGAGGATGAGGAAGGCAGGTAGGAAAGGAGAGCAGCTGGATCCTGAGAGGTAGCGCTGCCTCCCAGAAGGCTCCCCCCTCCTTTGACATGGACACTCTTGATGGCTGAAGCAGCTCGGGGACAGCTGAGGCAGCAGGTTGGGAGTACGGCCAGGGGCTTTGCTGCCCTGTGCCGTGGAGAGGGGAGCCCACCTTGGCCCAGGGCTCTTCACGAGCCAGGAGAGCCAGTCACTGCCACCCCTGCGCCGTCTCTTGCGGGGACGGCGATGAGCTGCTGTCACTGCCATGGCAACGGCATCTCCCGGGCTTCCCGACCCCACCATCTGGCTGCGGAGGGCTCTGCCAGGCGGCCAGGCCAAGCTGAAATTTTCCACGCTGTGGCCGGGTTGTGTTTCCTTTCAGGAGGGCTCCCTGTGCCACCCGGAGAGCGGCGGCGTGGTCAGCCCTGGGTGGCAAAGGTGGTCCTGAGGGAATTCAGCACCCAGCAGAGCTCGTGATCGGGGAGGATTCGGTCAGCAAGAGGAGGAAAACTTGCTCAGTGTCCTCTCCTAAAGCCCTCCTGGGTGGTGGGATGCTGAGCACGCACAGATAGTTTTCCAAGCTTTTGTGTCACTAGAGGGTGACACCTTCTTGCAGCAGTCGCAGCTGGGGAGGGCTGGGCTGGGGTCAGACCTGGCGAGAGTGACCCAAAAGGACGTGCTGTTATTGCATTTTGGCTGTCTCAGCTCCTTGGTTCAACTGCCTGTGCAAGCCTCTGAGGTCTTGACTGGTGGCCCAGGAATGTGTTTGGGGATCCCCTTGGCGAAAGCTCAGGTGGCTTTGGCCACCCGTGGAGATGGACCTTAACCTCCTGCCTCAGTTTCCACGTGTGCCAGAAGCAACGTGGAGAAGGGAGGCAATCAGATGGAGGAAGGTGAATGATGGGTGGTGGAGAGGGACAAGTCCCATTTCCTCTTTCCTTTCTCTGTCCTGTGGGTCGGTGAGGAGGATGATGAGGTCCCTTCCCTGCAAGGGTCGATTCAACACGGATCAGGGCGAATTTATGCAGTTGGGAGCCCTTAGTTCTGCACGGTGGGCTCTGATGTCACTGCTCGGGAATGACATTTGGGTGCACAGAAGCCTCAGCCTCAGTGCTCAGTAGCAGTCAGAAGATCAAATGAGATGGGGAGCAGAGAAAAAAAATGAAAAGCATACTGCTGCTGTGAGGTTGCTGGTGCATGAGCAACCAGATGCAGGTCCCTTCATCCTGAGAAGTGTACAATAAAGCTGGAACAGGTTCTGCAAAGGCCCTGGAGACACCACAGCTCTGGACCACCTTCCAGCCAAACATGACTCCTCTGTCTGGAAATACAAGCGGGGACAGGGTAGAGAAAAAAATAGAGTGACATGGAAAGGGGCTCCAGCCTCTCTGGGATGTTACATGGAGCCTGTAAAAGGCAGGTTAGGTGGAAAAGGTGACTGCTTGGGAAGCTCCTTCTCATGAGGAGAAGCAGAAGGTTTGTGTTGGTCAAGAGGACGTGAGGCACTTCTGGAAAAGAAATGCCTTTCAGCTTGGAAATGGAGGGAGGTGACGCCCTCCAAGGCACTTGGAGCCAGGTGGAAGCACTGCCTGCTCCTGCTCATGTTTTGGGCCTTGCCCAGGCACTGGCTTTCTTCACTCCTGGGCGGCAGGACTGTGAGCTGGAGGGGCCTGTTCAGGAGCTCACCTTCCACTGCTACCCCTCCAGCTGCTTTCCCCTCCACCTCCATTTCCTCATGACATATACCTTAGCACAGAGGAGCTCCAGAGTACAGAGGTTAGAGCCAAATCACAGAATCATAGAATATCTTGTGTTGAAAGGAACCTTAAAGACCATCTAGTTCCACTCCTCCTGCCATGAGCAGGGACACCTCCCACTAGAGCAGGTTGCTCAAAGCTCCATCCAACCTGGCCTTGGACACATCCAGTGATGGAGCATCCACAGCTTCCTTGGGCAACCTGTTCCAGTGCCTCATCACCCTCATATTGAAGAATTTTTTCCTAATAGCTAGCCTAAATCTACCTTCTTCCAGTTTGAAACTGTGACTCCATTCCTACCACTGCCCTCCCTGACGCACAGCTCCTCCCAAGCTTTCCTGTAGGACCCTTTCAGTAGTGGAGGGCCACAGTGAGGTCTCCTCAGAGCTGTCCCCTCATCACACATGTTCCCAAAACCTTTCACCAGCTTCGGTGCCATTCTCTGGACCGGCTCCAGCACCTCAAGGTCTTTCTCCTCCTGTGATGCCCACTGAGTGAAGGTCTCTTCTGCCCTGGTCCTGCCGCAGGGGTGGCTGAGCCTGGCCAGGGACACTTTGCATAGGAAGAGAAACGCGGTGGTGCCCGAGGACTGGCAAATTTGGGTATCAGCCCTCAGGACGGGAGCCTCTGCCCCGTTGCAGGATG